TTACTACTACTTACTACTACTTACTATTACTTACTATTACTTACTACAACTTACTACTACTTACTACTACTACTACTACTACTACCTACTACCTACTACCTACTACCTACTGCCTACTACCTACTACCCACTACCTACTACCTACTGCCTACTACCTACTACCTACTACCTACTACCTACTCCCTACTACTACTAGTACATGGCCGGCCGGCCGGCCGGCCGATATGGCCAGCCGGCCGCCCGGCCGCTCCAGGTGCCAGCCGGCCGGCCGGCCGCGGAAGAAATCGCTACTACTACTACTACTACTGCTACTAGTCTACTACTACTACTACTACTTGGCCGGCCGGCCGGCCGGCCGCTATGGCCAGCCGGCCGGCCGGCCGCTATTTGGCCAGCTGGCCGGCCGGCTGGTCGCGAAATAGCAGGCCGGGTTGCCCGCGCTGTCTGATTTTAGCAGTGACCTCACTCGAAGACTCTAATGTTATTCCGAAGACCCAGAAAGGACCTTCGGAGGCTCTTTTTGCCTTTCTGAGGCCCAGCGGCATCTCCATTTTCGTCGGCGATCGACGTGTTTTAGTCAAAAAGCCTGATGAAGAGCACTTTGAGGCACGAAGCAGAAAGTTCATGGCTGTCGGTGAAACCGGGAGATGTGGGTTGACCGATAATGAACAGAATAGACAAATACGTAGTCTACCTGGGAGGTCAACCTACAAAGGTTTTGGGTTCCAGATTTTGACTCACCTCCATATGTTGATGTTGATGTTTTTCTCCTGAAGCACTACCATGAAAAAACCTTCTTTGGAGGCACCTGGACCTCTGAACCTCACCAACTGGGTTGTGCGGAAACCGCTGGAGGCTGGGGGGTTTCGGCGCAAATGGATCAAGAGAATCAAGGTGAAAAACGCTTGTACAGGTCAATCAGCCCATGCCGGTCAGCTTCCCGTTTAATTTGCAAATATAATCCCATCGTTTTGCCGTTGCTGTTGACGATTGAGGTCAAAGTTGCTATATCATCTACAAAAAGTGAGATTTGGGCCATTGGCCTTGAGCTCGGCAAGGGCTCGCAATTCCCATCAGCAGAAGAGCAGAATAAATTTTAATACAACTTGAATGCTTTCGAGGATGCAGATGACTCAAGTAGATTTTAGTCTCCACCAAGGATTTGTTATTAGTGTGCCGATCGTCCGGGATGAGGAAGTCGTAGAGCAGGCATAGGAGTGAACAAAATGTCTAGACAGATTCCGATGCCATTTTTGTCGGGCTATTGGAAACAAGAAGCTACTAGGAACAAGTGCGTCGCTTCTAGTAACAAGTGCCTTACTAGTAGTAACAAGAAGCTATTAGAAACAATATATTCACAGTTTTGGCCAGTATTTCTCACAGGTCGTGAAGCTACAGCCACCACTGGAGGAGCATCAGATGTGTGAAGACGAAGCACCATGTTCTGACCCAAGGAAGCACCGACCCAAAAGTGAATTCTCCACAGGACCGCATGAAGCTAGATATGGAAAGGGTTCGACTGCCTTCGGCTGAGTTTCTGAGAGGCAGCACAACATGCCAGGTACACACTATATAGAACGTCGAACGTCAGGCCTTTTGTTCCTTCCATTTCTGGCAGTTCTTGAAGTTCTTACTCCTTTAACGGGGCAGTTTGGCAGTCGTAGGGTTTTCTCATGTTTTCTTTGGTATCCGGCGGTGCTGGATTGCTTGGGTCTTTGTCACATTTTGCAGTATTCTCGGTCGTCTCGTTTGTTGAAATGCTTTACCTTTAAGAGTTGAAATATGGCACAAAGAGAGCGTTGGCCTTTGTTCTCAAGCTGCACAGCTGTTTCAGGGCCGACTTTCTTCCATTTATGGTCTATGCCGGAATCGGAATGACATTAAGTAGGAGTTTTGAGTCATTCGCTGCTTCAAAGAATGCATTGCGTGGCCAATTGGTCTAGCTTTGAGACAAGAAACTCAGGTGGGTGATGGAACACCGGCCAGACAGAGTGTCAAAGAAGGACTGGGGAGACCAATCCTGTCACTTTTTCCTTTGTTGAGTCTAGTTCTTTTCCTTTTCTCAGTGGGGCTGTGGCTCTTTTGCTTTGATAAATCATTGCTTGATGTTGCCTCAATGTAGCAAGGAAAGTTGAACATCAAACCTTTTACCTCAAGCCACACCCAGTCCACAACATCTGAACTTCAGTAGGGACGGAGTGTTCCAAGTTCCAACTGCTCCGGAACATCGGACTTGCCTTGAGACGCTACAAGAGCACATCCGCAGCAGGACACCCTCCGCTGCGTGGAACCACCGGTTCTCAAGCTCACGGACTGCAGCGAGTTCCTCAGGGTCAAGAATGACACGTGCGGAAATTACAAGAACTCACATGTAAAACTCGACAACACGTCGATGAAACTCGACAAACTTATTCCTTTCAAACTTGGACCTGCAACCCCATTTTTGTCACTGCTGCAGCTAGCCTCCTACGCATCGAACAAGCTGCACGGGGTTCAGCGTCCCCGACCCAGATCAGAGCAATGTTTGCGGTGTTTGAGTTGGAAATTGAAGAGCTTGAAGTTTGAAGTATGGAACACTTTATGATGAACCTTATGTTGAGTAACGCGGCCCTGTGTTGATCTATCAGCTTGATACAAAGGAATGAACGAACATGTGCCCCATGAAGCATCGATTTCGCCAGGTGTGAGCACTTGCAGTGCTTTGATCTCAATTCCTACATCCACACCATGCGCAACATACCACCGAAGCACGCCTGGCTGGGACCTTACAAGGACAATTTGTTGGAAGACAATGGAAAGCTGCATGTCGAGTAAAGGAAGCCGTTATACAGTTTTACTGCCATACAAGCTTCTTGAATGCCCAGAGTAGCACTTCAAACATGTCTCGGAGAACCGCATGCATGCCAGTCTCACCGTTTAGAGTCAGCATTGCAGAGGTGTTGTCCAATTTGCGACAAGCCGGTGCCGGCCTTGTTTGCAACCAAAACGCATCACAACACCAATATCATGCAAGTCGTAAGTTTGATTTGAAAACGCTCGGAGGAACGGGATTTACATTGGTGCACGTGTTTTGCTGGTCTAGGCACCGATCCACCAACTTAGATTGGATGCTTTTGCCCAGCACCCTTCTCAGATTGATGTGAACAAAGTACTTTGGACACTATTCATGTACTTTCAGATACTTTCAGTATACTCTATTGTCCTCGCACATTCCTAAGCAGCTGTTTTTTTTTGCGACAGCAACTGTGGGGCTATTTTGGCGGCATGTCAGTTCTATCACGTCCGAGGTCTGTCATCGACAGCACGGCATCCAATGTCACGGAAGTCCTTGTGGCAGACAATGGAAAGTTCGAGGCAGTGCTGTTCGTGCTGTTCACAGCTCTACGACGGCGAAGTAAGATGCCCTGCATTCAGCAGGTCTCCGCTACCGAAGACGACTTACAGGATTCTTCTGATGAAGAGGCCGACGGAGGGCTGGTGAAAGACCACTTGTCCCTTTTTGATTGAAATACGAAGCAAAGGTGAATCTGTGACATACGGATCCCAATCAGGGCAATTGTAGATGTGCTGCTTGAGAGATGAGTAGTGGCCATCGCAGGCCCCTGGTTTAGTGGGGGGAGAAGATGTTTTTACAGCAATTGTATTTCGGAGATGAGTAGTGGCTCCTGTTTTTTGATGCTCAACTTTTTTCTTTCTGGATTGGCATTCACCGATGCAGAGAATCAGACGTGAGCGGTGGACTGAGGCTCTGAAGGCTGAACAGGCCGCCCAGGCAGCTGCGACGACTACACCAGCAGCGCCTCGAGTTGCAGCCCCACAGCTGTCACAGGCGCAAATCACCAGAGTCAGAGGATTTGAAGGCCCTGAAACACCAAGGAATGGCACTCTAGATCTTGATTTGTCTGGGTGCTGGTATCGCTGCAGGGCACCGCTGCTGTGTGCGCTTGGGAGCTTGGGTGCTGGGGTTTGGGTGCTGGTGCCGGTGCAGGGTGCCCCTTCCGTGTGCGCTGCTGCAGGTCGCCGCTGCTGTGTGCGCTTGGGAGCTTGGGTGCTGGTGCCGCTGCAGGGTGCCGCTGCTGTGTGCGCTAATTATGAACCGCGAGCGAAGAAGCCGCGACAGCCAGAATGCAATGATTCCAATGCTATCTGGGGTCCATGCTGGCGTAATTTTACATATTTCTATGGAACATAGTGGCAATGGATGGACACCTGTTGCCCCACATTGTCCTTATCTCCTTTGCAGATACCCCACTTGCAGATACCCCACTGGTCTCTGAAAGGCTTTGCTGATGCACGTTGTGATTGTGAGACTGTCTTCATGCTAGACTGTGAGTTGGGTCACAGAAGTGGAGGCAGAGTTGCAGCAAGCCGCCTTGAATCTGGGCCGCGCCTTCTCTGTGAGAGCCCCGAGGGCGGTAGATCGGAGGCCATCTCTGGTAGCTTGGAGGCCATTGCCGAGAGCTCCGAGTCGGACTCCGCCACTTCGCACGCGCCCAAGGCTCCCAAGGGGACGCTGACTGCGTCGCCGGCGTCGCCTCCGGAGCAGCCGCCGACGGCCAAAGAGAATCATAAGCCCAAAGAACGGAAAAGGCCGAGAATGGCCATTTCCTTCCAAGATCTTTACTTTCCATTCTATTTACTTCTTTTCCCTCGTTTTGACCGAATGCAGGAGCAGAAGCCCAAAGAGAGCTGGCCAGGCCTGTTGCTTTCCCACGCTTTGTATTGCTCAATTGACTTAGCCATGTTGTAACATGTTAACTATCAACTTGGCATGCACTTTGCATTGGCTAATACCGAGGAGTCTCCCCCGCAGGAAGAGCCCGTTGCCGGCAGCTCAGCAGGTTGAAGTCACATTGTCGATTGTCGATTGTCGATGATGATGATGATGATGATGATGATGATGATGATGAGGATCCAGCCCTTTCTTGTGGACAGCTAGATGCCGGTCATTACCTTTCATACTCACTGGTTCTTCCATGTTCTTCCTGTTGACCTTCAGGACAAAATGAGAGCATGGAAGGTCTTGCAGGGGCTGGAAAAGCTAGTGCCCAAGGATGCTCTACTCCAAACGTGGTCACAACCCAAAGCACTGCAAGCTCTTGCAGTGTAAGTTCCCTTGCAAGTCAACAAGGCCTCCGGAAAAGCCGAAGCCTCCTCCTCCAGAAGAAAAACCAGAGCCAGAGGAGACTCGCATCGGCTGGCTGCCAGAAAAGATCTCAGCCAGGAATGCATGGGTGAAGATAAAGGAAGGTTCAGAATGAAGATCCGGCGATTTTGTAGGCTAGCACTGACAGACATGTTAGCTGCAGTATTTTTTTATGTTGACCAAGGATGGTGCATCCTGCTCGCTATGCTCAAAGTCGATGCCTTGATTTGCACATTTCTTGAAATACAATACAGCCAGTTAAGATTTGGACCTGCTAAGGAGTGTGGTCGAGAAGGGCGGAGTGTACTGCGGTCGGAAAAGAGCTCCAAAAGACTTTGGAGGCTGCTTCGAGGCGCGGAGAAGTTGAGAATTGGGGCCTCATGCTCACAGGTACCTTTGAGCCCTTCCAGACGTGTACCAAACTGCTGACAGCTGCTGACAGCTGCTGAGTTCGAGCTGATGAGGCGATTTGTTGGAAGTGCATGAACAAGCAACGTGCTGAAGCCTTAGTTCCAACAGAACTCTAGATATCCATATGACCTCATGGTCATCGGTGTACAACAAGGGAATGTGATTGGGAGGACAAGATCGGCAAGATCAAGACCACAAAAAATGAGTTCAGCACTCTTGGCCCTGATGCTTGGTGGATGCACGAGAAGTGCATGAAGCCAGAGGCCCCAAGTGAATGAATTGTTCGATCATGTTCGATCCATGTTTGATCATTTTGACGAGTTGAAGGTGTCAACTTGCCGGAACCTGAGCCAACTGTGTTTTCTGAGCCAGGACCAAAAAGAGTACTTCAGAGAGGACGAGGAAGAGGAGCAAAACTTTTGCAATTTGTGATAGCTAATGAGGGGGTGAGCCTCGCACTGTAGATGGAATCTGGAAGGAACTGGAGGAAGAAGCAAAGCCCAAGAGACCCAAGAAGAAGTTCAAGGAGGAGCAGGGGAGAAGAAACCGTTTCTGTTCGTTTCTGTAAGTTCATTGTGCGTCACAATGCTGGCCTTTGAAACATCTCATATTCGCAAGCAGCATTGGCCAAGTCCTTACTTTTCAGAAATCTGGCTCAAGCCGTGATTGTACCTAGGAACAAGAAGCTACTAGGGGCTCCTGGCCTTACTACTAGGAGCAAGGACGCTACGAACGGGGCTCTTGGCATCGCTACGAACGGAGCGATCGGACGCTCTCGCACAGAAAATCATCCAAGTCCCACTTGACACACTGAGTAAGAAAAGCCACATTTTGTTATGCCCTAGGTTGATTTGATTTACTTGGTCAACTCGAGGCTTTAGTTGATTGAGTTGTCGTTTCTTTTCACTGACCCTTCAATCACCACATTATCCTATCTCATCCTATGACACTTGCCATCCCCAAGCACCATGCGCTTGCCTTCTCCGACTCGAGTCAGAGGGCTTCTGCGCTGTCGCTGCCTCGGAATGGGTCAGTAAGAGCCCTCTTCTCAGTAAAATCCTAAAGTCCTGACGCTCCTGACAGGTCTGGATGCTGCCTTCTTTGTAGCTTCCTTCGAGGAGGTGTGCCAAGAGACTTTATCATACTATTATATATGATATATGTATTACATATATACATTACATATTATCTCATCATATCTCTTCATGTCGAGTTGTGCATATGTTTGCCCTTTCGAGGAAGGGTACTACACTGTGGGAGATTTGAGAGAAGATGGACAAGAGGCCATGCGGGCCATGCGCATGTCTTTTGCATTGGCTACTTGGTTCAGTTTTAATTGAGCAGAGCTGGACCTGAATTGATTTCATTGATTTTCCGACGAAATAGCTTTGTTTGACACTGTCAAACAAAGGTGTCCCTTGGCTGCCATAACCATAGTCTGTCCGAACACATTGCTGTCCATTGAAACCTGCGACACAGCGACAGAATTCGTGCAGGTGGTGTCGGAATTTGTGACAGCTTTGAGCATGCCTCGTGGGACTGATGAGCGCTTTCTGCGGCTTTCCTTTGAGGTGCACATCGGCTAAATCTTGGATCTATATAAGTGGCACGAAAGGTCCAAAGACTTGGGGAGGAAGTCACACAGAGTCTAACAGGCTGTCCTTGACACAGCTTCATAATATATTCTCCCCTTGTTTGCCTAAACTACTCAAGAGTTGTCTGAATTGCTGTCCATTGCTGTTGATAGACATCACAGGACGGCGAGAATGAGCAAGAGCCTCCGGAGGAGCCGAGTTGAACGACAAGATGTCAGAACGACGAGCCGAGTTGACATAATAGCGATGCCCTCCAACCTAACATGTCGGGGACGAGATGATTGTTCGCAGCAGTTTTGAGCCGCAGGACCCAGCGAGTCCAGTTGCACGATTGGGCACCATGGATCCTTCCTGGCTGGAGATTATTGCACCTCTCTATTCCATGCACATGGGTGCCTGTGCTAAAGTCTTGAATCCAACCCCAGGTCTAGCCCCTGTGCTGGCCACGGTAGCCAGGGAACCAGAAAAGGAAGAACCGGTTTTTGCATATGTTTTCTTTCGGGGGATGTGAGGTTGTGAGAACATGGGTCCGCTCCTTTACAGCCTCGTCCGCTTTGTGAAGCCATCCCACTGTCTTGAGATCGGTGCAGGCCGGGTCGATGCTTCGGTCCCGTCCCAATCCGGTCGATTCGGTGCTCGGTGCAGGGTACACCTCAGCCTTTTTGCTCCAGGCTTTGGAGGTTGGAACATCTTGCGGGGGCACGGGCTTGGGGATTGGGTTTGGGAGGGAGAGCGAAAGTCCTAAGATGAACTTGGCTATACATTGAGGGAGCACTCGCACTGGGGAGTTGGAGCCAAAGCTACAATTCATGACACGCACTTTCGTAGGAAGCTAACCAGGTGTTGAGACATCCAACCAACAGCAACCAATGTAGCGCCTTCCTGACAAGAGCCCCACATTTTCTAACAGGATGATGAATGATGGTGGGAATCGACTGGCAGGACAACCAACGCGAGTTGCAGTTTTGGGAAGACTGGCGTGGCCGTGAAGCTGGTCCACAAAGCTGGCTAGTCAGTGCATTGGCGAGATGACATGAGAGCTAGCCTCCTTTTGTGTGCAAAACTTGCCACCTTTCAAGTCGTCAAGCTCCTGCTTTTGTCCAAATCCAGCCTTTCTGTGTGTTGTAAGGTGAACTGGCTGAGAAAACTGGCGAGGAAGGCACGCAAAGGGAGCATCACAAATCTAGGGTTGCCATTGCCCATTGATACTAGTAGCGTCCTCTTGTTACTAGTAGTAAGGCCAGCAGCCACTAGTAGGGTCCTTGCTCCTAGTAGCCATGCCCTTTGTTACTAGTAGCGATGCCCTTGCTCCTAGGAGACTTCTTCTTCGCATCCACTCTCTCAGTCCTGAAAGTTCGCTCTTCCGGAGGCTCCTTGCACTGCGTGGACAACTTTGCTCACGAGCACAGCACTGCTCCATTGCTTTCCCAGATTGCGAAGAGACTGCGGCTCCAGCACCGCCTGAGGCGATCTCTCAACCCTTTGAGTAGAGCATTGTGAACACGTTTTAGGCTACTCGTCAACATGCTCCAACACATAGGGTTTCAAACGATGATGGAGGATCTCCAAAGCCTTTCAGCCTTAAAAAGATCCGCAACATTTGTCAACTGCGAATGCCTTTGGGCAGTTGTCAATCTCAAGCTATTAGCCCAAACAAGCTTGCGCCCACCAGCTCGTAGCCATGGTCAGCTACGTACATTTGCTTCAAGCAGCACCTTGGTCTTTTGTCAAATGCGAGAACAATGGTATCGCATCGCTGTTTTTCGAAGCTGATGAAGGCTGAGTGTGGGAGCTGAGGTTACACCGAAAAAGTACGATGTCCGGTTTGAATTCTCGAAGCTGGGAGAAGACGACGGCTTTGCCGGATACTTGAAGGCGGACCTAGAACTAGCGCTCCTTGGCTGAAGTCATGGACAAGGGGGTGCCGGGTTGATGAAATGGAATCCAACAGTAGAAACAAGTAACAGTCATTTTTGATCCAAGGAAACCGTCTCACACAGTGGAACTGCATGCCAAATGCATCGACATACAGTCGGCCTTTGTGAAGCTTCAGTCCGGGCTGACGATCAAGATGACACAAGCTGTGAAACAGGAGCCATGCTGCGGGTGTTTCATGTTCTTTAAGACTCTGTCAAAGTGAAGACTCCGTGCAGCCAAACGGCCTCGTGAAACGCTGGAGGATGCGACTGAGAGTGTGCTTCTGACATTTGAATCTGTCCTATCTGGCAGCATTCTTTTGGAATGCAGCTTCAGTGGCAGCATAAGAGGCCCTCTCAATGGTTTGTACCACTGCGATTTCAATGGTATAGCCGGTGCCTCCACGCACTTCGAGCCGGTCTATGCTCGATATGCGGCTTTGCTTTTTGCCAGTGCCAGATTTTATTGGTTTCACCACAAAGTTGCCAGGGAGATCCGAGAAGAATGTTTTGGGGAGGTTGATGTGAGACCATCAAAGCTTGTTCCTTCTCAGTGATGTGACCCTCATGAATGCCACAGCTCAGGTCTTTCCTTGCATAGATGAACCAGCCGCCAAAGCCTGTTTCAAAATTTCCATCGTTGCCCCAAGCGCACTAACAGCTACTTAGCTACAAGCTATGATGTTTGACTGAGCAATAGACAAATAGATGAAAGTCTGCAAGTAAATGAGCACAAGAAGTCACTGACAGAATGCAGAAGCCACTCAGACATGAAGGTGGTTCTGACTAGCGGAGGTCAACCTATTGACCGCCTGAGGTTGTGTCTAACATGCCACAAGAAAGCTCGAGGGTTCTGAGCGATGGCGTCACCGAGCACGTATTTGTGCCTTAGATTTAACAGTTAAATTAACAGTTTTCCATCAGCCCAACAGTCTAGGACACAAGCATACTTCTCCGTCTTCGATCTTGATTAATTTGCAATATCATGCAAATCTAAATAGAGTCACATTCTTTGTCATGATTTTTGTCTTTCCATGGCTCCAAATCCTACCTTTACATGGAACGAGTGTCAGTGTCAGGCTGAGACGCCTCGGATGTCATCCTATTTGCTCGGCTTCGCGATCGGAGACTTCTCGGTGATCCACGAGCCAGGCAACTCTCCGGTTCCCATGGCCCTTTATGCTCCCAGAGGGAAGGCCAGAAGCGGTACGTGCGCTAACAGCTAGACACGATGAGGTACGTATATGCGCTGTTGCTTGATTTCTCGCGAGCTGTTTCTGAGGAAATCACTGGAAGTTATCCTCTCACAAAAGGGCATTTGTTTGCTTTCTGTGTAACTGCTCACATGTGATGTGCTGCATATCTTTGCATGATTGCTTTTTGAATCGTGAACTTGATGTTGATATGTTGTTTGACATTGTGTGATGTGTACTTTTGGCCTCCCAAGTGAGAAATTGTGATCTATGCAGGAGAAGATGGGCCAGTTTGCTTTGGAGATTGCCGCGTACAGCCTTGCCTTTTTCGAAAAGTTTTTTGACCAGAAGTTTCCATTGCCGCAACTAGGATGCAAAAGCCTCAAAATGCCTCAAATCATCTTGTGCTCCCAAGATACGAGCTGGATGCTGAAGTGTCCTGTTCGGATGGTGACTGTGGTGCTCAGGAAACTGGACTTGGTTGTCCCACCTGCCTTTCCGATTGGAGGTATGGAATCATGGCGAAATTTCGCTCGACCATCAGTCAGTGTAAATTTTTGTTGGTGGTCTCAGT